TCTTTCCTGGATATATTCAGAAATGTCTTATTCAATGTCAAGTGCAGAAGAGCCCTCGGCACTTTCGGAAGAACCATTTATATTGTATTTCTGTTTTTTTAGACAGACTTCTCATGCTTTACAAATATTTTCCGTCAGCGAGCACATCATTTTGGAAACCATCACCTTAAGCAGTGTTGCTGAGACTTAAGGAAAGCATCCGTAAAACATGAATATTGAGGTAATCTTTAAAATGAAGAAGACAAATCCTGTCCCAGCAGCAAGTACCAAAAGAACCCCTGAAAATAATATAGTTGAATGTTCGAACGCCTATCCTAAGGCCAGTAAGCGATGAGCTGCTGTCAAACGAATGCCTGTAATTGGTTGTATCTCTTGCATTATGTCTTGATGGCAATGATGGGAGAATAAACCAGATGCAGTAGCAGCACTCAATACAATTCAAGCAGCTTGAGCTGCAAGCAGTGAAAAAAGGACTAATTTCAAACTTGCCACTGTGTTACAGCCGATCATAATCCTGACGTTCATTTCTCATTCAATCAATGCTTAGCAGCTGCTCCACTATCCACCATTACCTCGGTCAAGCTTTCAGGTTTTTCAGTAAGCAGGTAAATTTAAAGCTCCAGATATACAAAAGATGTGCCTGAAGGGTCTGTAAAAGCGAGATGTGATATCTCTACAAAGCAGAGAATGCCCTGTGTCCAAAGCCAAACACAAATTAAAAACTGACCGACCTTCATTTGAGATGAAGAGAAGTGTTACTGTTGTTGCTTTTGTCATGTTTGTTATGTACATCTCAGCTGTCTAGTTTAAATCCATGTTGTCTTTTTTGGGGTAAATGTTATGCTTGTGAAGAGTAGATACATTTAGTTTACAAGGAACTGGACATAAATGTGCTGGTTGTTGGGTTTATGTTCATGTGTGTGCGTAATTTTGCTGTTTTTGTTGTATGTAGCCTTGATGACTGTGCTGCTGTCAGCAGTAGGCTATAACAGGGGTGGTGCCGCACCTCCAAAAGTGGTGGGGCAAAACATGCTGTCTGAAAAGAAGAAAAAAAAAAAAGCAGCTGCCTGAGTGATGAAATGCAATTAGGCCATTGACTAAAATTGCCTTTCACATCTCTGAAGAACATCAGGCTTTTTTCATACCCAGGTCATTTTCTAAAGGCCGCACCATTGTTTTTTTGTGATATTGTATCTCGTTACTTTGGTTCGGATACTTTGGCACAGTCCATGTACCAAAATCTAACACACAATATTTAATTGCTTGTCTCTCGTTATTTACAGCAGCTCGCAGTGCAGAAATGATATGAGCGTTTGTAAAGAGTGACTTGTTAACGCAGCAGGTTGTGCAGACAGAACAGCGGAAATGTGCAGTGGAAAAACATGCTCTGGTGTTGAATTCCCTCTGGAATTAGCGCGGTTCAGTTGTTCGGTGCGGATCTGAATTCGGCTGCATGTCAAAACCGTACTAGAGAAAAAGTTTGACTGGTCTGCACCGTCCAAGGCTGGTCTGAAAGCTCCTCAGGGCTAAAATGAAGATTCTGATTGGCTCTGCCGCTCAGTTTTACTCTTCACCGCTTCATGCTGTTTAGGGAAAGCGAGAGTTTTTATTTTTGTGTCCTGAACTCAAAAAGTAGTGGGACGTCGCCACAGTACTTTGAAAAGTGGTGGGGCAAATGCCCGCTCGCCACCGTGGTTCCTTCGGCTGGATTCCTGCACAGTTCAGTGAATTTCTTGCTCAGATACACCTGATTTAACTTCAGTTAATTACCAGGTTTGGTTGGTGTGCTAGAGCAGGGAAATCACCAAACTGCGCTGGACTCCTGGTCCACAATTCCTCACCCCTGCCATAGCGAGACACAGCATGCTAGGAAAATTTGTTTGACAACTTTGTCTTTGTGCAGGACAGCTCTAAACAATAACAAATAACAAATAATTTAACTTTTGACTATCATACTTAATGGAAATATTTAATTCAGGAAGTTTGTTTCTGGAACCACCTAACCTGATTTAACGTAATTTTAGTTTTTGTGTACCACAAGCCCCAGACTGTGCAGTTTGGTCTAAACATTAACAAACATTCTTTGAAAAATAACTAGATAAAATGAAAATGTAAAAAATAATGGTGAAAGGCACCAACACCGCAGTTAGCATGCTCTCATTTAATCTGCTGTGATATCAAAAAGGCAGCCAGATAGGGGCCCAGCAAACATTTGTGCCCAGGGGCCAATAACTTAATGATCTAGGCCTGAGCTTCAATGAGCTTCATTAACATGTCGCAACATTGAGAACAGTCTCTTTGACCTCCTTCACTACATGAACAAAGTCTCCTCCTAATTGTTGGTACATGATAGCAAGTAGACATGCAGTGACAATTTTCATTTCACACATACCACTTTCTAGATTTCCAGTTTCTACACTGTTGACACTGTTGCTATTTCTCCTGAGCGTTTCTTATTTCATTAGTCCAAATTGCCAGATTTGTTCAGTCTACTTTCCTAGTCATAGCAAAAAATGTACTTCAGACTTAATTTGTCAAAACCCAGTAAGCCACCATACACTTTGAGGCAATTCATTAAAGTAATGTACCTGCAGTGCATAGCAAGGCTAAATAGATTACAGTGAAAAGGCTGAGATAAACAGTTTGCTTGTAAGCTATGTACGTATGCATTGAAAAAAAAATGGTCCTTGGAGACCAGCTATCAAAAAACATGAAAACACTCTGACTCCAGTGGCGGAGAATCAATTAAAGGAATGGCGTGCTGTTTCAACACGGCAAATATTTTCTAGTTCAAAGACACCTCAATTTGTGTATCCTAATTTGCAGTCCATTGGCCAGAGTTCAAATTTATACCCATGCTAAACATTACACTTAACTGCTGGGGTGGGTTTTATAATGTGCATTAAAGCATTGCCTTTAAATACACAATTAGCCTTTGTGTAATCGTGTGCAATTAATTTGCTGCATATTAAACAACTCGCAAAAAATCAGAGCAAGCCATTAAGTTTAATTAACATTTTAACTCGGCTGTCACTGGAAATGTGAAATGTGTAAGGGCTAAGACCAAACTGTAAAGTAGTCATCCAAGCCATATTAAATGCATTTAAAAAAAAAAAGAAAACAAAAAACAACTTTCCTCCAGTAATGGTACAGCAGTGCAGGCTGCTTTTCAGTGGACCCAAAGGAAATCTATACTGAAGACTTTTTTCATGTGTGAATACGTTGTGCGTAATATGCTTGAAAACATGGCAACATATACTTTGAATATAGCCTTTTGACCATAAAAAGACCATATAAAGAATGTTGTAAAGGGGTCTAAATGTTCTGCAGTTATTAAGTAAGTAAATTTTATTTATCTAGCACATTTAAAACTGAAGTGCTTTACAATTTATGGACAAAGAATTGTCACACTATTAGTTTCTTCACTTGCACCAGTCTCATTTACATGTGTAACAACCCAAAATAACACTGCCACACCCAGTCCTCAGCCAGCACACGCCATTCAGCAGCTTTTAAAAGCCAATTGATAAAAATGCGTTTTAAGCTTAGATTTAAAAGCAGTCACTGAGGATGCCGGTCTGATGTCCGTTGGCGCGGCAGCAGCAAAGGTCTGATCTCCTTTTAGTTTTAGCTGAAACTATGGTACAGTCAGGAGTAATTGAGACGCTGACATTAAAAATCTCGAAGGAGACAGACAGAGCATGTCCATAATGTGTGTAGGTGCTAGGCCATGTAATGCTTAATGTCTCTCACAGTGTACAATGCATGAATGAATGGATGGATCATAACTAAACCATGCATCTCTGAAATGGAAAATAAATAGAATAACCTGTTTTTAATGTACTTTAATGTACATTAATATAACTGTGTAAGAAGTGTAGGTAATTTTGGACATTTGCCCATTCGTCATGAAATGTTCACACAATGTTAAAGGCAGCTGGTATTTTCATATGCATAATTACATAAATTACAGAAAAAATGAGTCACAATGTTTTTATGGGCCTGTAGGCCTACAGTACTGTGCAAAAGTCAGAGACCACCCTTCGTTTATTACACCTCCAGACAAAACAGCCAAGAAGTACAAGGTTTTTTGTTTTGAGCGTATAAAAAAATGCAGAACAGAATTCTACAGAAAATGGGAAGAAAATCCAACACGAAAATGTACCGATGTTTCTCAACTGCTTTTAAATACTAATAAAATGTCCTCTGTGTGATGCTATATTTTGTGTAACACCAGTGCTGTAATCTAAAAAGGTAAACCTACAGAGCTACATCACTTCGAACCAGAGTCCAATTTTTTTGGCTTTTTTTCCAGTCCTTGTGGTTATCCATTCGTGAACTCTTAGAGATATAAATATCGAACTCAGTGGGAATGCACATCCCTAGTACGGTGCGCAAAAGTAAACACATTAAGAACTTATAGATTTGATAATGTACTTAGTGCTGGAGGCTTCTGCGTAGTTTTCTGTTAAATGTATGTTGCCTGTTTTCTACTGACACTGAAAAAGGAATAACTTGTACCTAATGGCCATTTTGACTAGTAATTAAACTCTGACATTTGTCCAGCTCTTTATATCGATATATATTTTACTAATAGGTTAATAAAGAAAAAGTCACAAATCAATTTTAACAATGCACAGCTGTTTTCCCTGCACGTTTGCTGTAGCTTTTGGGCCCACTCTCACCACATTTCTCCTTTTCAGTCCTTTCAAATCCACACTTAAACCACAAATTATCTTGAATTATCTTGAATTAACTTGGGTTGGTTTATCCGACAGACACACCAACCTTTAATGTGAGAAAGGTCATAGAACTGCAGTGTGAAATAACAGTGCTTCAGTGGCATTTGAGTAGTTTCTCAAAAGCTTTTAATTGGCTCTGCTTTCAGTCCATCGCTGACAGTGAATATTTATTTTTTTCTTTTCCTTTCTGGAGGGGCAGTCAGTGTTTAAGCAGCACTTCTTACATGGCTTTCTTAGTGTTAACACTTTGAGGCAGTGGCCCTTACCAACTTTTATTAATAAGTTTATTGATACAGTTTCGATTGCAACTCAGTTTATAAATACAAACTGTATACATAAAGTATCATAAATTTAATATAGATAGCGGACACAATTCTTTGCATTATTAAATGCTCTCTACATTTTGCATAGAATGTGCGAGGATCCTTTTCATTTACTACCATTAAAAGAAAACAAACAAAATGCAGAAAAGAAACCCAAACAACTTACAATGAGCTGTCAGTCCTCACAAAACTGTGTCAAACCAGTTTAATATTTCGTCAGGTTTTTGCAGAGGGGAACATTAAAAAACATTAAAAAGCAAATCAAGTGGCAAATTTTAGTTCTAACACGCTGGAAACCATACTTAAAAATGTAATATTAAAAAAAAAATCCAACTTTCTCCACCACATCCATGCCAATTTAGTACTCTCATAGTGCAGTACTCTCATGTTCAAATTATGAAGGGTACATATATATATGCACATTGTTGATATGTTGCATGATATCCAATTCCTGGTAATGAGAAATGTGTACCTTCAATCCAAAGCAAACAAACTTTATTTGTGCTCCTTGTACATACCTGTATATACACAGCAAAAAAAGAACCCACATTGTGTCACTGGGTTGGGAAGCTTCTGTATGACCACAAATCAAACCAAACCAAAACACACTCATACTCACACTCTTAAAAATAAAGGTTCCTCAAAGTTTTTAAAAGCTTTGCTTGGATGCACGATTCTGTGAAAACCTTAATATAGTATAGAACCTTTAAACGTCTAAAAAAATGGTTCTTTAAAGAACCAGCCATTGAAATGTTTTCTAGGTAATCAACAGTGGTTCGTGCATGTGGAGATGGCACTGATCTGTTACCAGGTATCGGTATCAGGCTGATATCAGCAGTAAATGCTGGGTTGGGTATTAGAGGGAAAAAGGAGTTAATCAGATCTGGATCCTGTAACAAAATGTCTCTTGAAATAGCATTGACTCACATTGTGTGATGTGAAGATTGTAGCAGTGTATTTTTTCCTGCGGTTTAGTAGAGTGTTTGAGTAATTTTTGTATGATAGTCTACTTTCTTGATGCTCAAATTGCAGCTAAAAATCATTGTACATTGATGACTTAGCCTTGTTGTAGTCAATCAGCTGAATCGTTTGGTGTCCAAATGTTGTCTCTTTAGTTTAGCGCTGGAACTACAGGGCTAACGTTCCTAACAATTACTGGAAGTCAGTAGTCACCCAAATTATCCCAAACCTTCTCTCTACCTGCTCAAATTGCATCCAGGTCTCCATTAAGGGCACACAGGCTTGCCAGTAGTGGTTTAGAACACAGTATGTTTACTGCACAGTATAAAAATCAGCAGGCAGCCGCTTTAGACAACAGGTGTTGTGCTGAAGTCTGAGCTTTTGAGTGCACACACATCATGTAAGCTTATGGAAGCTAGATTACATTGACAGTATCTGTTTGTGTTTATAAACATACATCTTCGGTTAAAAAATGAAAGATTACAATAATTTCTAAAAAGAAACTGTGGCAGTCTGTGGCAATCTGTGGCATCCATATACCTGCGTGATGTGTGTGCAGTTCAGTCAGAGTTCAGCACAGTACCTGCTGTTTAAAATGCAACATTCACAGCATTCACAGTGAAGTTTTGTTCATATTTATAGTTTACAGCACTGGTGCAAGGGGCGGGGGGCGTGTCTCACTTTTTGAAATCACACAAGATCATTTTGAGGCTTACAGGATGGTTGTTGAAAAAAGAGCTGTCAGATATAAATTATTATATAGCTGTCAATTACATATTAAAACTTTATTAAAGCCAAAATTGACAAAAGAAAGAAGCAGTAATCTTTCCTGATATTTTCAGCGCTTCTTTACTGCACTGATTGTTTACTGATTTGTTCTCCGTCCTTCTTCTTTTTAAATATCATCGTAGTTGTCATTATTTTGCTAAAAGATCAATAACATGCATTTTAAGTGACAATGGAAAGAAAAAAGCTTGATTGTAATAGGTGACGAAATCTTGAATCTCTACACTGAATGTGTATGACATTCCTGTTAATATTTGTGTTGTAATATTGACATATAAAGCATGAGATAGCAGTATAATAAACAAATTTGTAGGCGTAATTTGTGTAGCTCATTTCACGTTTGAATTGCTGTATGCAAGCTATTGCTTCCTGATAATGACCCCATCTCCCGTGTCAGATCCCTGGTCTACAGTAAGTCATACTGTGTCCTAAACCACATCAGGAAGTCTGTATGATATTAACGAGGACCTGGATGCGGTTGAGAGGCGTTCATTTATGAAAAAGATTTCTTCTAAGGGTTGCTAGCAATGTTAGCCTCCTAATTCCAGTTCCTAGTTCCGAACATGTCTCGGCTGATCGACTACATCTGGGGTAAGTGGAATTGTTGTATTTATGTAAATTCGTCTTTTCATCAATCCATTTCTTTAAATGAAGCGCAGAAAAAAGCTAGTTTTGAAGCTTAGTTATCGGACGGATACCAGCTGATGGTAACATTTCAACATCAGGATCGTTTTCAAGTGGTATCGTGCCATCTCTACTTATATGGAACCCTTTTTGGCACCTTTATTTTTAAGTAAATAAAGACATCGATCTGTCATGCTTGATCCTTTCCTGACCTCTCCAGATAGCTCTACCAAAACATTTATTTTGCACACCTTTTCAATTCAGTCAATGCATAAATGAGAAGATAAAATACTTTTCATCTCAGTTTGTTATTATACTTTTTTTTTTTTAGTTCTCATCAGCAGTGAGGTATATAAAACAACAGTTGCATTAAAATGTTAGCAAAGAAAAAAATAAACAAGAAAAAAACAAAAATCCCACACATGAAAATTCCAAATCATCACTGGGGTGTCTTGTCTGTTCCCAGACTTGGGTTCAATTACCGCAACTAGTTTGTCGTCTCATGCAACAGGGCTTCAAAATAATGCTACTAATTAAACAAAACAGCAACAATCAGACATTCTCACACTTGCACACATTCGGTATCAACTTCTTAATTACTCCTGGAAATCAAAAGAGCAAATGAATCATATTAAGCCCTTCTGTGATGTGTCACTCCCTAAAGATTGCTGTCACCTTCCACTAGCCGCTACGTTTAGCATGTTAATAGGATGACAGTGTTCACTTGGGGCTTCAGCCCCATAACGCCATAATCATAACTGCCACTCTTCATTCCTCTGTGTTTACTCTGCTGTTGGAAAAGAAGTACAGTGAGAATGTTGCTTTTAGAGAAGGAGTTCTATGCTCTTACAGAAGCAGGAGAGAAAGAAGATTTACAGGGATTCTTCTTAATCACTAAACAACTCTGGTATGAAAACATCTAAAGCATGACGCAGTTGCTTTTTCCGTCCTTGTATTTTAAGAGCAAATTAGTGGTTAGTGAATGTTAATCTGTTGCTATGTTGCAGTGAGAAGTGTACTTATACATATTGCCACATCTTCATGGACTTTCTGCAGCTTAGCTGCAATTTATTTTTACTTTGTTTTTCTGTAGTGGTTATGGCAGCCTGTAAATTGCCATGTTAAATATATTAAAGTTGCAAAGAAATGCAGGTGAACAAAAGTCGTACTTTGCGAGTTTTTCCTTCATCCACAGAAACTCTTGATTTCTACATTTAAATTCAGAAATAGTGGTTGTGTTGATGAACTGACCCATCCGTCCTCCACGTATAAATGCACTCTTCCATAGCAACGACTGCCATTTTGGATAAGCTTTATAGAATGAAAAATGTAAGTAATTTAGAGTTTAGATTAAATGACAGGTTTTGCTGTTTGGACCATGTTGTTGTAAATAATTGAAAGTAAGGCAAGATGGAAACAATACCTTGCTAACGTTGACTTGATTACATGACTACACCCACTTTGTCCTAATGCATGCAAACTTAATACACAACCATTCAAAAGTTTGGAGTCACGTGTTATATAAAGAGTCTATAAACTGTGTTTCTTGTAATTTATATTTCTCCTCCTGAGGTTAATTTGAGATTTTGTGGGTTTTTTGTAACAAAAACAGACTTAATTGATTTTATGACCATATTCCAGCCTCTTTTTATCTCTTAGAATTAAACAGGCTGTTTTGGTTACTGTGCCTTTAAGACTGTTACATGAAAATGACCTCTGTTCTGATTTCCTGCCCGGTATTGTGCCTATTCAAAAACCTTATTCAAAAACCCTTAGCTTAACATTAAATGGATGGGGCTGAGGAAGCCAATATATGTAAATGCTTTGATTTGTGTGACATCAGAAAAAACAGTGAATTCAAAACAGGCTATTTTTGCAGCTTTGTTTCCATATATGGGCTGTACAGACTAGGGAGTGAATAGTGTTTTGAAACTTGAGCAACGTTGCACTTCAAACAAAGGAAGATTTCATTTTTCCATGATATGGACCCTTTAATAATTTTATCTTATATACAGTAATGACTTACATGATGCAGATCTAATACCTCCTAGAGAACAAAAGGTATTTTAGATTGCATTAGTATTTATTTGGATCAAGAACCATTTTTTTCTAAATGATGCATTTTATACTGTAATTCTCTGTTTACATAAATGTTTGTCAAATTCTCAGCCTCACTCAGCCTAACTTTATTATAATTCATTCTTGATGTTCTACAGCTTGCTCAGTCATATCAGAACCATCTACAGCTAGACTCATTATGCTGGATGTATGCAAGAATTCTTAATGTCTTTACAGCTTCTTATTAATTAATTGAAACCTATGAAATTTCAGATGATGAATCTATTAAACATTTTATTCATATTTCTGAAACAAAATTAGTTTATCAAAAGTTTGTACACACCCACTCATAGAAGGTTTTCTTCACCGTTACTATTGTCCATATCTACTATTTATAAATATAGTAAAGATATCGCAATTATGACATAAGGAACTGTAATGAATAAAAAAAGTCAGATTATCTTCTATTTTAGTTTCTTTTAGAAATTTGGCCCACTTTGCATTGATGCATCTTAACAATCTTTCAAGCAGCTTCATTAGGAACCACCTCAGATACTTTTTCCACATGACTGCAGAAGTTCCACATATGCTGAGTCCTTGTTATCGCTGAATTTTTCTTGCTGTTATTTTTTTTTTAATGAGGCATCAACTTACCTTAGAAACAAATTTCATTTGCACTTGAGCATAAACTGTTACATAAATAAGTCTTTAAGATTATGAACCTGCATATTCAGTTGTCCAGACTTTTAACTTGTGTATTCAACCCCTAAACTCTTATTCAGTTCTTAATCTTAATCTTAAGCATCTATACAATAAATTACTCAGTAACAACTATAAGGCCAGTAGACTTTGTAAGTTATATTCTGGGCCCACATACAGACCCTTATAGTTTAATGAGTTAAACCTAATTTGTAATTAATAACGCAATTTCTGTATTTTGACAAAAACCTGAGTTTCTTGTTAGGTTGACGGAAATTTTTGCTAACATGCTGTTGCTAGGAAAGAATGCATTGGTGGGCAGAGTATGGATAGGTCAATTAGAATGAAAAAATGTAGAAACAACTAAACAACAAAGAAAAGAGTCACTCAGTGTAAAATATTGCAACACGTGAGCCAGAGATTGGCAAACATATTCTGGGCCCTGCCAACTTTCAGATGAACGTTTGAGATTGAAATGCATGTATGTTTTCCATATAAAAGCCCCATGAACCTTTACGGTAGATCCTCAATCTAGAACAGAATGTGCTGCACATTGTATGCGTGAGAGCTTGCAACAGTTGGCAAAAATTGAGCTATAGGATACTGAAAGTCATTCAGGCCCTCCAGCCTTTTTTGGTTCATCTTTCTGGTTTGTTTTTATTTCTGTTTATCATATAAGATCAAATAGAGAAAAATACATAAAACCTTGTGGTAGAACTTTGTCAACACCCACACATACTGGTGTACACACACCCACGCACACGTACACTCACATTCCAAGAAGAATGCAAAGGCCAAATTCCCCACCAGCCGCTATGAAAGAAAAGCGCTTGTGGCCAAAAATCATCGTTTTTCTTAATGCTGTGCCAACTAGAAGGACACAAAGGACAAGAAAAGACATTCAGACTAAATAACAGTGGCCTTTTGTCTATCTGCGTAATGAAGCAGTTATCAACAACAGAACCTCAATGATGGGACGTGTCTGCGGCTGCGGTCATTTGTGTCCTTTGCATTCTTGTACTTTTGTACAACTGAAAAAGTGTTGATTTTCAGGGGCAAAAATCACCAAAGAAGAAAGTACATCAAAATAAAAGTTTCCTTGTCAAAATAAAAGTCAGTGAGATGTGCTTCTTGCCACAAGTGCATTGAGATAAGGCACAGGCACTGTTCTCCTCTTTGAACAGAGTGGGTGCGTTTGGGTCAGTCCCATTGCAAGCACAGTTTTAGTTCGGGTGATCACCATCACTGTACGTCCAGTTTGGATGCGACATTCACTTATTGTTTCCGTGAGTGAGCGTTTCTGCCACGGTCAGCAATGCGATTTGAAAGACGAAGTAGTAAAAATAAAGAGGTGACCAAAAGCATGTTACAGATGGAATCGAAAAGAAAAAGAACAGGACAAATTTAGCGTTCACTGCATGAGCTGATGCACTCCACCTTTACTTAAAAGAACCAACAGCAATGGAAAGCTAGGACGCTTGATGGCAATAGTACTGAAAAGTGCAGTGGAATTGTGGTGATCACCCAAAAGTTTCTTGCCTTTGAAATTGCCTTGCAAACAGGCTTTGACACTGAAGTGTCTCTTTACAGATCTTGAAGAAAAAAATCAGTTCTTATCATGGTGGGACTCTTCAGAGGACCAGGTTTGCAGTTTGTGTGAGTAAAACAGACAGCTGTATATGTGTGGGTGTATGGCTGTTCGTGTGTCAGTGTGGGGGTGTGTGTATGTGTGTGTGTGGGTCTAAGAGTTAAAGAGTGTCTAGAGGCAGATATTGTTGCTGATCTGGCAGGTGGATCCTGTTCCAGCTTGAGATAAGAAGAGTTTCCCATTGGGGCAGACACACACCTCATAGACAGTCTGTCTGGTTCCTGAGGGGGAGGCTTTCCCCTCGGGCAGACGCAAGAGCTTGATCCTCCTGGCATCCAGAGTGATCTGAGGAGAGAATGGAGAAGAACACCAGCCTGTAATACCTCCCCAAAAAATAAAAGAACAACAATGCATGTAACATTCTAAAGTTTCTAGCACAACGAGCGCTTCGGAATATTTTTTATAAAAAGTAGCAGATTCTGTTAATTTGATTTAAATAAAAACAAATTGTTACCCACAACTTGGCCATGACTGGGTAATATGCCCCTTTAATGAGCAGCGTTGGGTGTAACGTGATGAAAAGTAATGTGCTGTGATTATTTTTCCAGTAATGAAGCAGTGTAACTCATTACAGGATGAGTTTTTCTGCATCTACAGGCACTTTTAGGTCCCAGCAATATCTTTATGGAGATACGGTCATTTTTTTTAGCAAAATGCGTAGAAAATGTGTTGTCACAACAGATTTTCACATACAAAAACTGGTGCTAAATGTAATGAGCTAATACCAGTTTTATTCATATTCCACATCTGTTTTTGATCTTCAAATGCATAAAAAGTTGTTAGCAAGTCTCCAGAAGACATCTTTTCAATTGAATCTGCATCATATGTTCAGTCAAAACATATTTAAATAAACACTGTTGTTCATTGGTCATTTATGTTAAATTTTCTAAAAATATGTAGGTCCCACTTCTGTTGTCCTTACTACAACACTGTGGGAAACTAGGTGTCCCAGGATTCACAGAAAAGTAAATATAATTTTTTTTTATTTTACATTTAATATTTTCTGTGTCGATTTCATATTAAATTGTCTCTTAAGCTAATGTAACAGGCCATGCTGTTTACTATTTATACCCAAAAACAGTCAAAATGTCTTTGCCATGACATGTACTTATCACATCAGCTCCAAGTGCTGTAAAGAGGAATTCAGTTCAGATTAAATTAGCTGTACAGACTAATTCATTTCAGATTCATCAAATTAAAAGCAATTTGGTGTAGCTAGTTTTTTTTGTTTTACAGACACTGATACTTAAAATTCATTTTTATTAAGGTCCATTTTCTAGAGGTTTGGAAAGCTAGAAGTGCCTAAAGTTGCAGAAACATCCATAAATTCCTAATAGCGTTACAGCTTTACGTTAATAAGAATTCTGTTACTTGAGTTACTCATATTTCTCCAAGAGAACAATAATAATTATGTAATTATCTAATTTACAAACCCAACTCCAGGAAAGTTAGGACAGTAGTTAAAAGCCAAACAAAAACAGAAAACAGTGATTTGTAAACTGGGAAGTTAGAATGAACAGAAACAACTGTTATATATTTTTCACAGGTGAATAAGTAACAGGTGATGCTATCATGATTAGGTATAAAAGGAGCATTTATGAAAGGCTCAGTCGCCACTTTGCAAGAAAACTATGCAAGCGAATAATCAAACAGCTTAAGAACAGCGTTTGTCAAAGCACGATTGCATAACATTATTAAAATATTCCGAGAATCCAGAGAAATCTCTGTATGTAAAGAGTATGTAAAGTCAAGCCCAAACGCTGAATACCCATGATCCTCAGACGGCAGTGCATTAAAACCAACAGTCTGTAATGAATACTACCACATTTGCTCGGGAATACTTCAGAAAACCCTTATTTGTGAACACTGGCCATCGCTAAATCTAAAAATGCAAGTTAGGACTCCACTATGCAAAGTGGAAGTCATATATAACAACATCCAGAAATTGGTGTTCTCAGTTCAGTTGTATGTTTTAATGTTTTTTTTATTATTTTATTTGTATTTACAACATGAATTTCCTCCATATCAACCTAATCATTTATATCAACTAAACCTGTTTGAGTGGCTAGTTTCTATGTTTTTGTACAGCGATAGCCATTCAGAATAATAAAGCCTAACTAGCTGTGTCTCGTTCAAAGGTGGGCATAGTGACATGACTTTAAATGATGTCTACTGTGGTTGGCTATTTGATTACTGAAATGACGACTGGCTTTACCTTTGTACTTTCCAGTTGGAATAGATTTGTCAGAGATTTAAAGAGCAACACAGACAATGTCTAGTGAGATTAGGAGTATGAAGTAATCCCATTACAATTTGACAGATGTAGAGATTGATGCTTTAGCATTGTGTGTCTCAAATGCATCTCTTGTGACCACTATGATATAGATTTTGTGACTGGAGGAAGGATAGTATGCACATTTACTGCGTCAGTCTCTTGTTGTATTTGCTGTCAGACCAAAATGTGTCACATATACAAGCTGTTACAAATGTTTAGACCACATGGATTGCTAATGCTAACTGTTGAAAAAGACAAGCAAAAGTAACTGCTTTCATAGTTTCAATACAGTTGATAAATACAGTTGGATCGGAGTACTTTAGCATTCGTGCTACAAATGTTATGTGGTTACATGCATCCCTGAGCAATTTGGTTTGAGTGATTGTATCACAGCGTATATCAAAGATAGTTGGACCCCATTTATATCTGTACTTTCCAGTGTCCATTAATAATTGGGTCACCCAGTAAGTATGTAAACAGGGCCTAAGAAATAAACACTTGAGAAAAAACAGGGCTTCTAAATGGTTTTTGAGTTTGACAATGTTCTAGTAAAAACCTTCATTTTGTATCAAACCCTTGTGTTATTATTTGGGTGATCTGCTTAGTGTCTTTTTGTTTTCTGTGCATTTCTGGCTGTGTCTGTATTCCAGGTGTTGCCCATCATCAGTTGGCTTCACCTCCCTTTCCTGATTGGATTATTGCCTCTTACCACTTCCTATAAAAGAATCATCAATTGCTCTCGTGTGTTAAATGCTGTCTGTGGCTCGGTTTAGAAGAGCCCCTTTAGGCACCTTTTGTTTTTGAGAGTGTAGTTGCCAGTGGTTGGTAGTATTAAACAGAAAGTACCAGCAAGACATACTGAACAGCTTTTAGCACAGTGATCTGCAAATAATGCATTAGGGGTGGTCATGACATGCTCATCATGACCACCCCTAATGCATTATTTTTGGGTTTGGCATGGATTTATACAAGTTGACAATTATTCTCTTATTTGTGCATATAAAACAAATTATGGAGCTCAAAACTTAGCCACAACATGATAACACAGTCTTTTATGTACAATACTACAATGCTTTAGAGCCTCTAAGCGGAAACGTTAAGTTAGTTTAGTCAGTGAAGATAGAATAATTGAGTGTTAATACAACAAAAAATGCAGCCACAGTTAGGATTTTTATCCTTTAATTTAACTTTAGTTTTTGGTATCATAAAAATCACTAGCACTGTAGGTTATAAACATTAGCAATGCTGGCTTATTAGGGCACTAACGATAGATAATTTTTACACTTCCATGTTTGTTAATGCGGAAGAGTTAATAGTACTGTTACACGGCTTCTGGTCGCGCTATAAACAATGGCTGATACTGCCCAGAATCATTGCTGCGTTCCCAAATACACCAATAATTCAACTAAACAGCCTTACCTATTTTTCCATTCGATCAAATTTAAAAATGTTGAGCTTCAGCTGAAAAAGCTCTGCTCGTCATGTGTCACTTTTACGAGTTAACAGATCAAAAAACGAGGTAAAACTGAACTGAAGAGCGAATGTGGGCTGTACAGTAGGACAGATTTACTCACATTTGTGATTAAAAATGCTCAGCTCCAAGATAAATATTTATTCCCTGGTGTATTTACAATCCAGGAGGTTGGCATTACAGGGGTTTGCTTAAAACCATGAGAAACTCCTCACCACAGTAGCTTAGTGAGTAGTTTACTGTAATGTAGAAATACGATGCTGTGTCTCTATGCTGGTTATGGTGTTCAGGGCAATTGCTAATGTTTACATGGGCTGAGGAAGAATTAAACCTGGTGGACTTTTTCTCCAAAATGAAGCACAGTAAGTGCAAATCTGTTTAGGGATGTGTGATGTGAAGATCCGCTCCACTCCTTGTCCGCTTTGCAAAACTTCCCCATGGTTTAGACGCAGAGTTTTGTGGATAATGTGCAGTGCAGGCGGAAGTTCGATAACACTATTATTTACAGCCGGATATGACGACGGAAAGACTGTGAAAAAGGTCTTAGAAATGTTTAAAAATGAGATGATAGGCTGTTGAAGATAATATCAATAAATAACAAAAAGCCCTTTACCTGCTGCAAGATGAGGACAAGATTGTAAAAATGTGTACACCACTATTCTAGCACCTGTAGGTTTCATGGCTTGATATTATTGTTGCATGCTTTAAAAGAATCATTGATCCCAGAATGCTGTTACTATGCCGCTTTGTATGATCAAATTGGCATAATGCTTAAGAATCCTGCTGTTTCTTTTCATTACTAATAGTTCCTTTAATATTTTTAATTGTCATATATTCCTCCTAAAGTGACTGTCCTTCACTTTCCAGCTTCCATGTTAAGAAAACTCGTGCATATACGTGCATCTTTTCAAAGAACAGCTACAGAGAAGCGGAAAAGATAGACAAGTGCTATTACGGAAAATAGAATGGACTCCATATATAATTTTTTTTGCTGTTTTATTTAGATCAATATGTAGTACACAGTAGAAGTCTTCTTGTAGCAGTCTGCAAATAGTGTTTCTTTAAAAACATATCCAAATATATCTGTGTCATCCAGCAATAGGAGCAGCATTTTCCTGTCTGCAGCAAGATATTTTGCACACAGAGGCCAACGTTGCCGACAGTGTTCCTCCACTAGAGCACAAAATCATTCGATCTGACAAAGTCCTCGCTCGGCTAAGCTGGAAAAAGTCAAACCCGGTATATCCAACCAATTGAAACAATTTCAGTGACATAAGCACTGCAGTCTGTCTCGCTTAGACGCACTCTTAGCCCCTCACCCGGACCGTATCAGTCTCATTTCTCACTTCCTCTCCCGCGCAGGACTCCAGAGAGCGTGTGCATTACCACGGCGGGACAGAGAAAACCCGTCAGGATATAAAAAGGTAAGAGGAGTCATTACTGACAGCCTGGGGGGAAGCATACCCATCAAATGACCTGGAACACTTTTTAAGCAGTGGTCTCAGCTGATTCTCCAGACATCTGCTATAGAGCAAATTTGAGTGAGACAGTGGAGGGGAGGGCTGCAGGGCTTTTTTTGGGGGGAGAACTAATGTGCAATCCTCCAGACTAATTGTGCCCAAGCCTCTGAGGGACTCTCGCACGGTGGTGGTGTCTGGTAAAAGAGCACGGCAAATTAAGCGCCAAGGGCTACGGCAATGGAATATGCAAGTGAGTGGAGGTTGTTAAGGGAGCAGAACCTGGCACAGTGAGCTTCAATGCAAGCCCAGTGCTCTAACCTGCCTGTGGTCTTCCAAAACCACTGTAGGCACAATAAATTACTGTCAGATGGTAGAGCAAGAAATCCTATGAACACTTTCTACCATGATCATCATTCTATGATGATTCTGGATAAGTATCCCATGCTAGGTTTTGTTGACCACAGGTGTATTTATTTTCTTACGACAAGATACATTTTATCATAGTTAGGGCCAGTGGTGCAACTGTGCTCTTATTAGCCTAAATGCAAAAAAATGAATGGGCCCCCATTAGTTTTATGCAGTGTACTGGTTGAAATTCTTCTTCAGGTGTGAGTTTTATCAGAACCGTTATACTGGCATACCAAGTGCAAACCATAGTAACATAGTCCATTTAGTGGCTGAGTCAGGGATGTTTCAATCATGTTTCGAAAGCAAATAAAAACACAGCAGACACTTAGTCACCTCCCACGGTTTAGTCCATTTCACCTGAGGTAGATCACATTGGTCTGAAGGTAACAAACATAAAGGAATGGCCGGTTATTTGACTAACATGGACACCTTAGCTCAACATGGGCTCGTGGTCAGCTGCATTTGCTGATGCTATGGTCTGGGGACTTGTGCCTGCAACAAGTCTTGGACCAGCTGGTACTGAAGCTTGAACGACTAATATTTTCCAAATTCCAGCACTGTCTGGTTATCAGAGGCATGATTAGGGGGTGCACACGTATAAGACAAACAACTTCAGAAATGCTATGCAGCTGCAGCTGGCTTCTTGAATTTCCTGTCCCACCTTAAATGGTGCAGCATTTACATTCAGGTAGAACAGAAAATCAGAACAAAAAGCTGGTGATTTCAGCCTGGCAGAAATTAAGATGTGAAAAAAAAACATTTAGCACCATTTTTTGTTGGACCTGTGATGCTAGTGAAAGCAATATTGATGCAAGTTTAACTAAATATTTCATTCCATTCTGTATTTTATTATTTTGCATATAAAACAGTAGAATTTGATAGTGTAATAAAATATTTCAGATGTAGTTTGGTTGTTGAAAATGATTTTTACTAAAAAGTGAACATTCCAGAAAAATATACCACTGTTAACCAGCAAAAATTTGTAGTGTGACAGTTACTGAAACAATCAAAAATTTTAATTATACTGTGTGTGAAATTTTTAGTTGTACTGTTTACTTCCCCCCATACAAATATTACTTTCAGTGGGGAAAAAAGCCTGAGTGTTTGTGTGTTTGTGTATTCACTATTGTCTCAAACAAGTTGATCTTCTTAAGGCATCCCACTTCACCCACTTTGTATTATGTAATACAAAAGAAAAGCCTTCAAAAGATGCTGAGGGCTCACCTTTCTTGGCTGCAGTCTAGCTATTGGCATACAGCTACTATGTGGCAAAAAAATGCACATAAATGAATAGCCATCAGATTGTTTCTTACTAAATTTAAAAATATCAACTAATCATTGACAATTCATCAACAAGCTGTATTTTTTTAATGGTGTAAATGATTTTTATTGAGTAATCTCAACAGCTCTAATCACATTGCTACAGTATCAAAACATTCTCCATACCCTGTGGTTGTTACTAAGATGGACTATGTTGTAATTACTGACATATTTTTTGACCATATGGCGATAATCTTCTGATTTATCAAACGCTACAAACCCTGCACACCAAATCTACTTCTTACAAGGTTATCAGTACTTCCCTAAATGTCGGGTCATGGATATCTCCTGTAATTGCCATTGATGTATTGCAGGCTCAGGGCGCCTTCTTCCTCCGCAGAAGAGGAAGGACCATATGGATATGAACGTACTTGTCTGGATAGGAACCAGCGGCAGATGGGAGTGTCAAAAATGTGGAGCGGATCAGATTGTCCAACACGCCCATGGCGTCAACAGCATTAGGAGACTAAATGAGGACTCTCAGTGTGTGTTGGGTGAGTTTGGGGGGGTTTATACAGAACAGAGGACAGTTACCTCTCCGTCTTTAGACTCCAGACGCAGGTCGCTTCTGCATGTGGCTTGGATGTCGCCTGCCTCTGCCTGAATCTGTATACCTTTAGGAGCCTCCATGTACAGTGCACGGGTGGGAGACTCCAAACTGTGAAACAGAAGAAGAAATACACGTTTACCAAAAAGAGCCTTTGCCTTCCTAACCAGTGTTCCATGGGTGCCTCTTTGAAGAACCATTTTTGTAAATATGCTAATGTGAAGTATGTTTTTGAAGTTTAATCTCCACATCATGAAAAGGTTCTGTTCCAATTTACTTATCCATGCGCCAACGTCAGATGCTTTCTTTCATAGTTACTGCTGCAAGGTTGGCCAAAATTACATTAAACCTAATGAGAAACTGTAGCACACAGCTCAGTTTTCGGTTAAATGTAAAAAAAAATAAATACTGAAATTAGATGACTGCAATGCTTATTTAGTCACTACATTGTATTTATAGTATAAAATGCTACACTACCAAGCTGTCGTTATAGCTTATCTATGTCTTATGGGGCAAGATGGGAACAACCTTAATGTGAAATATCAAAACCAGTCCAGTGTCCTTGTGAAAGTGGAGCTCAAAGTAAGAGGCGATGGTGCCATGAATATTATGTAAGTGTGCATGACTGAAAACCCTGAAAAACATTTCCTCTTGCAAGAGAAAAACAGTTCCATTAAACTAGACTAATATTTAAGCTTTAGAAGATTTAGAGCACTTACTCCCTTCAAAGTTTTTAGATCTGAATCATTCATTTTGAGGAATGAACAGAATTTCTCTAGCTAGCCTGTTTTGATTGTGTTAGCAAGTCATCTGTAGCTGGACTGTCTGGTCGTTCTTGAAGACTGGTTTGAGAACCATTAGACTACACAAATTTGGGGGAGGGTTTCAGAGTGGGTTTTAAAAGTTGAACAAGTTGTTCCCAAAAGTGAAACTAACTAAAGCCAGGCTGATCAGGAACAACAGTGACAGATGTGCCACCATGCTGACGTTAACTGACCATGCTGACAAAAAAAACCTACATCCCATCTAACAGTGTGCCCTGTCACACACATGCATGCAAATTAATATCCTTCAAAATTAATAATGGTTAGGTCCAATGGGATTTTTGCAACCAGGCAGGAATAGCTACAAAACAGTGTACTTGTAGGCGGATCATGGATAGGTGAATTAAAATGTTTGGTTTTTTTTTTCCTTCGAGAACACTACATCCGAGCCAAGAACCATTTAGGAACCTTCTTAAAAGTGTAGAGTACAAGTACAATAAACTGCTTTGCACTTGAGCAGCACGCAACAAGGTGGGTGACAATATTTAATTATTTTTTTTAACTGCCCTCCAGCAAAGTAAAGTACTCCGGAAGATCATCTTCAACTCATGACTGAGTACAGCATTCAGAAAACATAAAAAATGGGTAATGGCAAGCATTCAGCAAGTGCACCCATTTTTCCTGATATGCCAGGAAGATTAAATTAATTGTGCACTTCACTATAAGAAAAGTAGGACTGATGAGAAATCTTTTTTGTGTGCTTGAGGGAGCATGAGACACTGGAAGGAGAATGGATCCCTGGAGACAATATCATTTACACCACCTTCCTGAACGTAATTGAAGATAGTACATTTCCGAGCCTAGTCGGAGCATAAGATATTAGGAAAGAGATATTTTGTAATTGTGCCCCAAACGATGCAAGTGTCTCAGACAGGAAAAAAGAAAAAGCTTTGCAAGCTCATTACTTTGTTTGGAAAGGTAGTTGAGGCTAAAGATGTATTTCAAGTAGCTATTTCCTCCCTTTATCTTTATAAAGAGGCGGTACATTCTCTCAGAGACACACAGCTCGCTTCAAAGTTCAAGAACATTCTAGGTCAATTAAAACTCCTTGCCGTACTTCACTTTGTGTGCTTTAAGGCCTGCAAAGTCCAGAGCTGGGAATAATGAGTAAAAGCGAGAAAGAGGCTGTTTAACATTATGCGAATTAAATCATGGTTTCTGGCCCCCACAGCCTTCATTCACTGTTAGCCCTGTTAGCATTTTAGGGGAAGTATTCCTTGAAGCCCATTGGGTGGGTAAACAAAGACTTCTTTTATAGCTTCACAATTATCAGTCTCCCAGACAAAATATTTCAACCATATGCCAACATGTTACTCCAGGAACAATCGTGCCTGCAGGCAGTGCTCACAGAAATCTCCGTCTGAGCAGACGAACAAACAACGGTCTTGACCGAACTAAAAATTTCACATGATTACATCAGAATTGGTTTGTTTGTTTACCTAGCAAGCACAGAACTGATACCTCATGGGCGATAAGACGTAAAACTAATTATCTTAGCGATATTTTATGCAGGCAGTTATCAGGCATGCTTTGTTGTGCAGTCAAATGGTTAAGACCTAGGTAAATGTATCAAAGAAATGAAACAAAAACATTTTTGTTTGTCTGAGTGTTGGAGGAGTACGTGGCAAAAAGGCGTAAACCCAGTGCAGTTAATGAGTCATTCAGGGGAGTTTCTGATTAGCATTCTTTCAGATGAAGAGAGTAAGGAGGCATGTGGTGAGCAGGTAAGCAAGGCCAATCTGATAGAAATTCGGAAAATAATAGGCAGCACGCAGAGATGGTGCTCATTAGGGAATTCCAATACAAATAAAGACAGTGCCATTTTTGGACAACAGGGGAGGAAAAAAATAAATAAATAAGAGGAGGGGGTGTTGGTGCTAAATAAGCTAACCACATTAACAACTTTTACTCTGCCTCATCTCACAACAGGAGAGCTATTGCAGAGTTTAAGGGATACAAACGGGAGCAAAAGTAGCATCATTAGCTTGATCAAACATGAAAGCGGCCTTCATTATCTGAAAATCCGGCACTCATCCTTTTGAATTTCAAACGGCGCCAGCATCTGCTAGCTATCAGTATTCAGGGGAGGCGGAGCAACATTACACAGCGCTGTCAGGGAGTGAAATGAAGCAGATTATGGGACACAGTGTAAGTGAGCAGCACCTGGGCCTACTCGGGAGAGCTGGGCGTTGACTAATCTGCTGCGGTGGGGGAAAGAAAAACAATGAGTAGAAATGAAATTGATCCCTTTAAAGGTGTAGGACAGAGACGACATGATCCACATCCTCAGCGGCCGAGAAAGAGTTCCTTAGAGATTACTTAGTAAAATGCAGTGGTTATATATAGAAGCATGGCAATTTAAAGAAACCATGGACATTTGAAACAATGCCAAAATGTTTTTAGTTTTTAAACCTCTCACACAGGTATTATTTGGGTGGTGGCTCATTCTCAGCACTGCAGTGACACTGACGTGGTGTGTTAGTGTGTCTCACTGCTGGACTGAGAACAGTCCACCAACCACATAAAATCTGCTGTGTTGGGGGTCCTAACCATTAAAGAATTAAATGGCTTGCTGGTGCGTGTGTGTGTGTATTTCCAGTTTTATTTGTTTACATTACCTGGACATCATCCTTTACATTATTTTGTGAAATAGAAATGGCCTAAAATTACCTGGAATAAAATCAATTTATATTAAAAGTTAAGAAGGTTTTTTGGAACGCATCTCAAAAATAAAGGTGTCAAAAAAGGGTTTTTGGCGTAATTCCACAGAAGAACCACTTTTGATTCTCTGGAGTACCTTTCAGTGGATGGTTGGCAAATGGATGGTTTTAATGGATGCCAAAGCAAAAAAAAACACCATTTCTGCCTTTCATGCTCCTGCTGCATTTAAAACAAAGCGTGGTGTGATTTCCCTGTTAGTGCAGTTTGTTAAAACAAGTGAGAACAATAATAAGTGCTATTCGTACTAAGTGGATTGAGACCTCCTTTTGATCAAACTCTGGTGCAGTTTGAAGTACGAATGCAACACAGACCAGAAACGTCTAAACACACCAAACACAGAATGAACCACAGTCTGTTCTCTACAGACTGTCTTTGGTACGTGCACCAAATGAATTTCTGGTGCTGTTTTCATTCGCGCATGTGTTTTACCATTACTTCACGAGAACATATCAAATATATTATTTATTAATGTACCACGTTTTGCCCTTATAAAAATAGTAAGACATTTGAGGCCATGTGTTAGTGATTTCACCCTGCTTAGCATTGTGGGAAAATAATACACTTAGTGCTTCAAAGGATCACTAGGTATGCATTAAACCCATTAAAAATTCTCACAATCTACAACTTTGAACAAATCTAAATAGGAATATGCTTCATACTTCAGTGTCCTTTTATTATAACTCAAATGAAGCATCAGTAATAAGCTCGCAGACGTGTGTCTGTTCTGAATGTGTACCCGGTCCTGAAGCTTCTTTTATACAGTAATAGAAAGCTTCCCTTCTACGTAATGATTTTTTTTTACAATGTTTAACATGGACATGCACATGATCCAACTCTGGGAGCAGATTTGAAATAGTTAAAGAGGGCAAAACCAAAGACTGAATGTTTCACTGACAGCACCTCAAGTAATACAGTGAAAAGGCTAGGTAAAGTTGGTTAGGTATAGTACTGTACAAATGTCAGAGACCACCCTTAAATTACAGTCAAAACAGCCATATAGTACAAATTATTCATTTTCCAGCATCAAGGAAAAAGCAGAAAACATATGTTTAACAGAAAATTGCACGAAAGCCTCAAAAACTAAATATATTTCCATTTTTTAGTATTGTGTCTAGTATTTTTTTAGAATTGTCTTTATTACAAGCTTCCACTCTTTTCAGGGATATTGTTCCTCCAAAGTTCAGTCTGAGAAATTGGTTGCATTTTCAGAAGCTTAGTTGATTGATTTGCAAGGTTTTCTGTCTGTTTCTCTTTCTCTGTAAGAGCTTCTTGGCAGCTACACATCCTTTCTGACTCATAGCATTGAGTTGTCTTCTCACAGTGGAAGGATGGACAGAAACACCTGTGTTTTTTCACATCTGAAGCAAGAGTACAGCTTGATTTTCTCCTCTCTCAAAGATGAAAGCTTTAAGTGCTGTTTATCTGATGGTGACAGTTTGGGTGGTCTCTAAGGTCTTGTAAAGTTGTTAAAAGTCCCATTTTAGTCTGTATCTTTTAAAACTTTTTTCCTTTGACTTTTCTCTTCCTTATGCAATTGGATATGTAAGCTATATCTAATCTCCTCAG